GAGAGCCCTCATCAGAATGTGACCATGCTGGTGCCTTGATTTTCGACTTCCAGCCTCCAAAACTGTGAGAAATAAATTTCTGTTGTTTATAGGCATCCAGTTTGTGGTATTTTGTTATATCGGCCTGAATGGACTAAGACATAAATCATGTGTTTTTTATTTTTTAGTTGGTTTAGTTTGTTAATATGCTGAATTACACTGATAAAATTTTGAATGTTTAAATCAAGCTTGCATTGTCACGATAGGCTACTTAGTCATATTGTGTTATCATTTTTGTATCTTGTTGAACTCAATTTGCTAAAAGTTTGTTTAGAATTTTTGCAAGTATGTTCATAAAGAATATCAGTCTGTAGTTTTCTTTTCATATGTCTTTGTATGGTTTTGATGTAAAGGTAATGCTGGCCTCATTGGATGAGTTAGAAGTAGTCTCTCCTCCTCACTTTTCTGGTAGAGTCTGTGTGATATTGGCATTGTTTCTTCCTTAAAAAATTGGTAGAATTTGGGTTTCCTGGGCAGGCCACAGAGGATGTCATGCTGGGTGGCTAAAACTCAGAGACCCAGAGGACAGAGTTCAGGGTGACCATTTCAGAGGGAAAGCAAGAAAGAAAATCCTGGAGAGGAGAGAACCCATAGACGGGGAACCCTAATTTGGCATATACACTCTGCCCAAATCTCTGGTGACTCTTGGGTGTATGCACAGGACAGACTCCAAGAGAAGAACCGAACAGACATTTCACTTGATGCCCAACACGAGGGAGACAGAGTTTGGAGTCTGAGTTTAGTTTAGTTAAATGCCGGCTAAAGCAGCTGGGGAAATATAACAGAAAGCAAGAAGTCAGAGCCAACAGAAAACATTATTGACAATGTCCAGGATAGGATGCTTAATTACTAGAAAAAAAAAAACAAAACACAAAAACAAGACAATGTAGTGACACTTAAGAAAAAAAAAAAACGTTTAAGGGAAACTGACCCTGAGATGATCCTGACTCTGTAATTCACAGACAATATTTTCAAAGCAGCTATTCTAAATATGCTTATGGACATAAATCATGCTAATAATTATATTTTTGCAGTGATATATATATACTTCTTCATTACCATATAAAATAACAGTATCTAAAATGGTCTACCAACTCCCTAATTTTGAAGTAATGCTATTTCTAGCAAATATTTCAAGATATCTACAATAACTAACATGATATGAAAATATTTCTGGTGGTGAAAAAGTCACACATGCTGCTAATACCATGGTTTGTCTACATTCATAATTGAAGGAAATGCTAAATTTTAATTAGTTTAGTAAAAAGAAGACATTTTCCCCCACTCAAATTTCAGATCCCTTGGGTTCTTAATGTCAGGTTAAGATCTTAAGGTCACAGATGCTGTTTTTCCCAAGTAGAACAAAAAAACCATGCCTGGCATATAGTAAGCACTCAATAAATATTTCTCTTTTTAAAGATTTATTTATTTATTTTAGAGCGGGGTGGGGAAGAGGGAGAGAAACTCAGGCAGACTCTGTGCTGAGCATTGAGCCTGACACAGGGCTCCATCCCATGACCCTGAGATCATGACCTGAGCCAAAATCTAGAGTCAGACTCTTAACCAACTGAGCCACCCGGGTGCCCCTTGAAAAATATTTCTTGAATAAATGAGTGCATCCGTGTTCCAGTCTAGTGGTAAAGAAATTAAAATTTGTTCCTAGTCTTTCACATCCATTTAAATAATGAATCGATAACACCAGCTACTATTTGATAATTGTTCATTATGTGCCAGGCACTGTTTTATAAATATTATTTCATCTTATTCTTATAATGACCCTGAGGCAGGCACTATTATTACTCCCATTCTATTGTTATGGGAACTGAGCCAAATAAGAGTTTAAGCAATCTCTTTAAGGCCACACAGCTGACATAGAACTCAGATCTGTCTGAGTCCAGAGTCTGTGTTCTTAAAGTATTAGGATAAGCTTAATTCTGAGTATCTCAGACTTGGGGACTGGTCCTCAGTTCCAACACAATCTGCCCCAGTATCCTTCATTGACTAAGCCTCAGACCAACTCTGTTTCACGCTCATCTTCTTAGGCTGCCTGTCATGCCATCGGGCGGAATCTCAGCCATTCCCTCAGCCTCACACAACCACTTGAAAGCTATAGACTATCAAACCTGGATGTCCAGGACCAAATTCTCTTCTGCTTTTCAAATCTCGATGTCTGTCTGCCCACTGGTCACCTTCCTTTTGATGTTCTTTAAGCTCCTCTATGCCAGTGCAAGGGTCACGTTCTCTGTAAGGGCTTTCCTGACCCTCCCAAGGTAGATTGGCCCACTTGGTGTCCCTGCTGTACTCTGTCTAAACCCTACCCCCCCCCCAATATCAAATCAACCAATTCATTTACATGCCTGCCTCTTCTTACCATTCTGAGAGCTCTTTGAGAACAGGGACCATTTCTAGTTTGTCTCCAAATTCTTAGCAAGTAGAACAATGCCTGACACAGTAGGTACACAGTCGATGCTTGTTGAATGGTGAATACGTGAATAAATAAAGAATGGATTATATGCACCAACCCTACTACTTAACACCTTGGCCATTATGTTTATTTTTTTATTTTTTAAAGATTTTATTTATTTATTTGACAGAGAGAGAGAGACAGCGAGAGAGGGAACACAAGCAGGGGGAATGGGAGAGGGAGAAGCAGGCTT